TGAGAGAACAATTCATCTTCAATATGTAGTGTGGCCATGACATAAGCTAGTAAAGGATATACAGATAATCTACATAATCAATACTCATCATACTCTACATCATACATAAACAAGAGACTCTCCCCTGAACGAATCCACCATTGCTGCATGCAATCATGTTCAGATTCCAACCAACTTCAGCGCTCCATGATTAAATTTTATTTTAAGCGAGATGTAAAGTTAGCGTTGGCCGTAGGCGGGGACATGTGATCCAAGCACGCGGACTAACGAGATTAAATATGCACATCTTGGTGGTTGTGTATGCTGCCAACATAGCCCTGCTAGGTCACACAGCTAGGAGGCAGAGGAAATTCCTAATTATGTGGGGGAGTTAATGAATTAAAAATGTCTTCATCAAGTCAACCATGGATGTTGTCAACATGGACAAGTGTTTTAGATGCCTTCTAGTTCCAGACCACGCATCTTTTTTCAGGTGGCCATTAACTTGACCCAAGTCCTTTAATCCATTAAAATGACTTCAATCCTTTTTGAACAGCTGTGTTTCGAAGTTCCTATTAGTATGCGGAGGAACAATGTCTGACTAAGGACAATGACGTAACTCATGCCTTTAAACAGCAACAAGAAGCTTTGTAGTACAAACCTATGAGTTTGAAAGTTGTTTACCATATATGTAAGTAATATAGAAAAAAAAAACATTAATAAATATACAATAAAAAATTCATTCTTGTAATTACGGAAAAAAAAGTCATGTTGAAAGTTCCCACAAACCAGCGTCAGAAATTGGCACTTGTCTTGTAGTCCTTGCCGAACTGCCCAATAAATAAGGTATCGTAAGCACCAGTAGAAATATGCCATTTTTAGGAGTTTTGCTATATGTTATCATTAAAGGACCAGTGGATTAAATATGTTAGATTCTACTGCTGCAAACTAATCTTATTATTTTATATATCATGCCCACATACCAGGCAATGGAACAGCCAACATGGGAACCTACACCTATCAACACAAGCCCCACAACATGAATAAGCGTAACGTTATACCTCGATCAGCAATAGGCTGTGTCCTGCTGTACAGTCGCTCCACCACCTGTCACAACACCAGGTCAACCTCCCCACCTGTCATAGCACCAGGTAAACGTGTCTCCTGTCCCCTCACTACTGACAAGGCTTTATGACGGATGTTTGACTTCTCAGTGCGCCAGTCCTACACCATGTACACTGCACACCACACTAAGTCACCTTCCAAGAAGCTGGCATAGGCTGCCATGCATCAGGCATAAAATGAAGTGCTCACTTGTATTCCAAGTTCTGACTGACCCTAACATACTACTCAAAAACAGTTAAGGATCTCCTGATTCTTTCATATAACTATAGCTGATCTGTCATGGCACAACATATTAACTATAGTAATATGAAAGAATCGGGTGATCATTAACTTTTTTGGAGTTCGTATATTTCTGTACGAATCTGGAAAGTTTATTGATCGGTAATACAAGAAAAAATGATTTGACTCTCAATTTTATCTTATTTTCACGTGTGACTGAGAGTGATCTTATAATGTTTAACTTTTTTGGTTTGCAATAAGCTCAAGTCAAGGTGTTGCCCATGGGAACAGTCACCTGAAGTCAGCAGTAGCTGTTCCCCTGATGGCTTCTCGTCATGTGTGCCTCCGTTCTAGAGTTACAGTGTCAGCGTTTCAGTCAACCATTAAGCGAGTGAGTAGATGTTTAGTCACCTGAAGCAATGCTGCAGTCGCTGCACGATGGGGGACACCAACAATGGGATTAACATATTACAGTTACACATGGAAAACTTGAACTCATGCCTGTCCCCCTGCCCCACATTTCTCCATGTTGTAAGCCAAAGGAGAAACCTTTGAAAAAGAGACCATCATAACATCTCATGGTTCTACAAGTTTACATTTCCAAATCTTGGTGTATCGGTACAGAAACTGTTTTCTCAAAATCAACCAAAGACATGCATGGCAATATATGTAATTGTCGAGAATTTGGATCAAAATATCTTACTTAGGGAAGGCACCAAAAGTTGCATGAAAAAAGATACTCATAGCCTGTCTGGGCCTGTATATCTGATGAGAGGGTCAACAATAGTGTGGATGCAGTAAGTACACTGTATAAAGAGCCAGTCTATATACAACTTCGGCATATCATGAAATATTTAGCCAAGTAATTCTTGTTTACTTCAAACAAGTCATTAAATCCCCATTAATATGATGAATACCATGCCTCACAATAGCCACCATCTTAACCATCCATCTTCACATAGCTAGTCATGTTTGGTCTTATTACTGAGACAATAGAGGTATGCTGATCACACCTCAATTTACATATTTTATTCACAGCAGGAACCACTGGCATACAAAAAACCTGATCAGAATATCTAGGCCACTGAAACTGACAAGCTTTTCTCTCCTGGGTCATATATATCTTTCACCATGATGTCATACCATTGTCACCATACTTGCAAGGTTTTCTTACCATTGTGATGTCATACAACTGTAACAGTTCTATTTTTATGTAGTTCTCCATTGTGATGTCATACAACTGATACTTGTAGTATTCAAAACACACTATCACACAGACCAGTTTCTAAGCCTGTCATAGTTTATATCAACCAAATCTTACAAATATACACCTGGGGACAAATTGATTCAGATTGAGATGCTTAATATGATTCTGAACATTGAACTTACTTAGCACACTGAGATACCATATTTTTTCTACCTGAGCAATAACCTGAATACCAGCCCAGTGCTAGTCTGTCTCACAGATCCTGAACCAAATATTTGGCAAGTCTAGACTACTTCAGTATCAGGAACATGGAGTAAGTATCAACAATAAATTAACAACTATTTTCCTGTAAAATATTTAATTTCAGAAACTAGATGGTAGTCTAGCCTGATGCAGGAAGCTTCCTTTGCTACATAATGACAACAAGAACAAGGCATACACAGAGCCATAAATCTTTACACAAATACACACTCATTAATTATTTGAGTCACATTGTTTTGAAAAACAGAAGTGGTTAATATTTTGACTATAATAATAAAGCAACCAGTAGCGGTTGAGTGACAACACTGCAATTAGCCATAATTGATGGTAATCTGCTGACAATACCCAACAATACAGCCATCAGACCACAGCAATGGTTTGTCAATCCTCTGTGAATCCTTCGTCACACCCAGATGCACATGACTGGCTCAGAAAACTGCTTCAGTGAAACAGCTTAGTTGGCAGAATGCGCATCTCACACGGGAGCAGATTAATTAATCAGATTGGCACAAATTAAGGATGTTATCAATAGGATATACACAGTGTTTGAGAGCATGTGTGCCTTCCATATTGGCATCATATCAATTTTGAAAATTAATACCATATCACTATAAACAACCTAATGATTAATGACATCTATTGTTTATATGCCAATAGCTTATCACTGGGTACATATCCTGGTTACCTGCTTTCTGGTTGCCTGAGTTACTTCACTATGAGATTTTGAACTTTGGTCTGACACATAACCTGTGCAATGGGGCTACCTTTCATCATTATGGGGGGTATCAGCCAGGATAAACACTTCATGAACAATCACTACTATCAGCAAGTCCCTCTGACGAAGCACCAACAGCGCCACTGGAGAAACAGGCATATCTTAAACATGCCCATCTTATCAACAAGGTTACGAAGCCTATCTTGCGAGGATTTATTATCACTGACTCCTGGGTTATATAACCCTTAAGTAGATATATTTCATGTGATTAATTTTCCATTATATTTCGTGATTATCAGTCCAAATCTGATATTGTGCATATGAAGTACGCTTAGCACTATAAATGTTAAATAATTGTACTTTCAGCTGTCATAATAGTGGTGGTGTAGAAGTCATACATAGTATCAAGCAGGATTTGTTTTAGGTCAGTTGGTTATTGTTAAGAAATATATTTTCTCCTCATCACGCCAATACTGTGTAAAACAATCCTGAACAAAGACGTATCGCATTCTGGACTGATCTAATCAGTTCCAAAATACAAACGTGTCAACCCAAGTCAGTCATGCCTGAATGAGCAGGAATGAATAATGATCCCTATAACGAAATCTGATTACCATAAGGGGGTGAAAAGATGATGTCTGAGGGTAGTGGTAGACAGAAACATTAGCGAAAGTTGACTCGATTGTCATACTTCAAAAGAGACCGCCCGGCGTGGCGATCCCGCGGCGATGGCGGTTTTCTTACTACGTGGGGGTTCGGGATTTGACAGACTGACCTCACACCTATTTCTGTAAACACGATTTTCTTTAGAAAAGGGAAAGGCATCTGACAAAAACAATCCGTTATACACTCACGAGTGAAGGCTATTCCTTGTTTGTTTACGTTGGACGATGTCCGAGTTTTGCCTACGCTGGAGGATTATGAACTGGTATTGTGGATTGAAGCATGGTTTTAGAGTGGCTATGTTACTGCTCTCACAAGATCGCACTGAGAGAAGAAGAAACATAACATTTCATTCACCAGAAAACGACGGCTTAAAAGTGAATGGTTATGACCACTCGCTCTTTTTACCAAACCCGAAGGTTGCTGTGGGCATATTATCCACTGTCATGATGACCAAATCAGATTCCTGAAGTAGCCACGGCCAAATTGATACAATTTCAGAACATAGTTCCATTTTGTAGCTATCACCGTGTTTTGTGTATCTTTGATCACATCACACTGCCGTTTGGAAATTGCAACTTTGTCAGTAGTTTGTTGCACATTATGGAACTTAATGCAATATACAACGGGAATCTTCCGTCTCGGTGGAATAAACGGAAGAAAAACTGATGACGCTTACATGTCAAATATCATCGATAATGTCTCTTTTTCAATCCCCATTTCCCTTGGCGATTTAATCCATTATTTCACGAACCGATCCTAGACACTTTTCAACACGAGGCAGCTTCTGTCTTTCACTGAAAATCAGATGCCGAAGTGAACATAACTTACCGTCGTGGTGAATGGCGGATTGGACAAGTCGATCTCATCTTCAACTAACTTGTCCCTCAATATATGTTTGAGTTGGACTTTCGGGTAAGTCAAAAGGGCTGTCTTCCCCGCGTCGTAGGCCTCGGCGCTCAGGCCTTGGGGTGGAGATCCTGGGGCAGGGCCCAGATCCGCAAACACTACTGTCTCCTCATAACTATTTTCCGGCGAGATAGGGTCCTCCAATGTGAAATACACAGCCGTTCCTCCCTCCTCTTTCAGTATCCGTACGGCGCGCAGAAGCTTTTCTCGGTGATCGTGTTTGGTGACACCGATCGCATCCAAATCCGCCTCTCCGACTTGTTTACACACTTCCAAGTCGTCATAGCCATTGTCTAAGAACGCTTGTGTGTAGTGTACAAGGTTCAAAGAACGCAACCACCCTTCCACAATGCTATCCGCCATTCTGCTGCATCCACACTACAAAAACTGTCGCAGATTTTCACTCAATACATTCACATCTCGCAGGCTAACCACTGTCGTCTGCGCCATGGATGAAACCTGCTACAAATGATTACACACAGTGTAAGGCTCGTGCGATGCGTGCGCAGACCCCGTTACGTGACGTCACGGGGACTACCTCTGTTATTGTCGGGATTTCCCTTTGATAACACGTGTTCAGTGGGAAATGTAAACACAGGCGAGATTGCTGCAGACATTAAAATGAGGGTCGCTAACTAATTCACACATTACTGTAATAACACTCAACTCTTTCATGCCATCATAAATTACGTAATCGAAGGAACAATCTCTGTTTTATTAGCTGATGTAATTTTATCGGCATTTATAATCATTGTTAATGAATAGTTTCCTTCAATGTCACGACATATTGTCGTAACTTCGTTTTATTGCTGAAACATGATCGTATATTCTCATCATTTATTTTAAAACAATCCCAATAAAACAAAATTAAGTACACACACTTTCCTTTTTAGCAATAAAAGCATCTGCCATAAAACTGTCAAGTCGTTATAAAAATTTGGGACTTTCGAGTACTGGCAATTGATGGCGCATGTCAACGTGTAAAACCCTGCAAAAATACAGGTCTATCTGAAAACTGCGAAATAGAAAAAATAAATCTTGTAGCTAGAAAATCATATCCTCGATTATCCAGTGTACAGCAATTCTATTATTATGAGTAGATAAATAAAATAATTTTATCGTACATTAAAAAAATTATGGTACAGAAACAAATTAAACACATTCTACGGCATGACAGTTAGAAATATCATACGGTAATGATAATAATGAAACACAATGTCAGTGTTTATTGTAAACAGCGCCATGGTGGAACCTACACAGAGAGGACATCTTGTCGCATTTCAAACGTGTGTTGAATATAAAGGAGTGAACGTCCAGGGGGCGGATTTAGTTTTAAAGCAGTACGCGAGTTCGATTACTAAAATTGAGTGACCTAGATGAGTCGACCGAGCTTATCACTTTCCGGCATCCAATGTTGACTTGATTCAACGCAAGTTAACCAGCGTTAATCAAAGAGAAATAAGGGCAGTATCCAAAACAAAACACATAAATTGAAACCTTGATTATAATAACGGCCGTCAGGAGAAGGAGAAACACAACTACCATTATTATATATAATATAATAACACAGCTATGAGAGGTTAACAAGTGTTTCATTGCTTGATAAAGCTGCCATTGTACCTTTTCTATTAAATCCATTTAACACGATAAGAACATTCAAAATAACGCATCGAATGAGATGCAAGGTAATCATCAAAGTTGCATTATTGATTCTGAAGTATATTTGTCAATAATCGAAAGTTAAATTTCCCAGACGCATATCAGAATACATATGTTCTATCAATACCTGGTTAATTATTTTCATTAAAATGCTTATATTCATGACTAATTCAATACGTGAAATAATTACCTTTAACGATTACGTCACTTGGCGGCCGCTCACCAGTGTACCCACCCCAGGGGGTCATTAGGTATGGGCAACTTAGGTCAACCGAATTAGGACGTATATCAGTTAATTTGGGCTAACACTGGTCCACCTTGGATAACTTGTAACAAATGGTATATTTGGGATAACACTTTCTTAGCAAAGTACAGATTCTAATATCTTTTTTGGGGTTGATTCCCATCCAGGATTCGAACCCACACTCTCAGAATGAGACACCTAATGGACAGCACACAAAGTCAGCGATCTAACCCACTCAGCCACCGAGGCTTCCGCAAAAATGAAAAACCGACAAGTGATAGTCTAGTTCAAGTACCGTCAAGTTGTGTACCCCTCTGACAAGTGTAAATTGGCACGGCTCCCATGGCCGAAAGCTATGAAAACACAATGGTCGAATGTAAACATATGTTATATTTCGGATAACACTTTCCAAGTAAAGTACAAATTCTAGATCTTTTTGAGGTTGAGTCCCATCCGGGATTCGAACAAACACTCTTATTCCGAGGTTAACTTGGGTCCACCTGGGAAGTCCAGGCTTTCGGAGTAGAACACAAGACTAAGTAGTGCTACTATCGCCCACAGAGTGTGTATGATAACAGAAGCGATACATACTACACTGGGTAATGGAGCTAGAAAACCTGAGTCATGGATTCAAATCGACTAACGGGATCGGGTGGTCAGGCTCGCTGACTTGGTTGATGCATGTCATTGTATCCCAATTGCGTGGATCGATGCCCATCATGTCATTCACTGGATTGTCTGGTCCAGACTCGATTATTTACAGACCGCCGTCATATAGCTGGAATATTGCTGAGTGCGGCGTTAAACAACAAACCAACCAGCCAACCAGCCAACCAACAATTAATTATTATCGTGTTGGGGTTTACGCATTTTGACAATATTCCGGCAATATCATGGGAACACCAGGCTGGAGTATTGCTGAGTGCAATATTAAACCAAAAATAAAGCAAAAAAACAAAAACAAACCATAACCCAGTAAGTCCATGCAACTCATGTTCAGATGTAGGTCAAGTGAGAAGTTATTTAATCGTATTGCGTTTAATTGTGAATCACGACTGTCAGTCAAACTGCAATGTGAATCAGCATAATCGAAAACAATGACAAATTAACACGTGGCCTTAGCACAAACAGACCCATTCTTTCAAACTTCAATGACTAATATCTAAGGTTATTGCAAACGGATTTCCCATTAATTTCTACAGCCCACTGAGATTAAATCAGAGATAAATAAACAACCCGATGAGCTAAATTCATTAATAAAAGGCATTGGAAACGGCAAAAAATCCAACAAATGAATTAAGCGGACATATCTGGGAATAAAACCGGACTTGGTCAACTCAGCTGTCGCAGCTGTCCAGCCGGGTCTAATCCGGTTATCTGCACACGGGGCACGCAGCCCGAATTATACTGAATGGGGGCAGACAACGCATGTCTTCACGCCATCATGGGTCTCAGTTTTCCGCTATGAATTAATTCCGGCATTCTATCAGTGGCTGCTCTATAACCTGGTCATCCTCTGTCCGACTGGGTGAATGGCGGGGCAGATGGCCGTGTTTGCAGTCACGTCGTCCGTAGTCTCATAACATGACACTAATTGCAGGGATTTACACATTCTGACGCCATCACTTAATCTTATAATTAGGTATTTTAGATGTTAATTATTGATAAAATGTAATATAATTGTAGCAATATTTGTGCACTTTACCATATTTAAATTAATATAGATATCCACTGTAATTATTACGTTACTCCTGCAATATGATAACGGACATAATTATATTTTCATGATTTTTCATGTACATAAATCATTCCAGTACTAGTACAGTAAACTACGGTTATAACGAACACGCTTATAACGAACTGACCGATATAACGAACTTATTTTTTAGTCCCGGCCATTTGTTGTATATATGCTGTATATATGCTTATAACGAGCTACGGTTATAACGAACTAAAATTAGTGGTCCCTTTGAGTTCGTTATAACCGTAGTTTACTGTATAATACTGGCAAATATACTAGAAGGCTTGACTGGCGTAGTATTTCGTAATATTGTTCATGCAATACACAATAACATATTTGTCTTCTGAAATTATATTCCTTCATGCAACGTATTTAACATAGAGCAAGGAATATTCATAACAACTTCTTTGTTATTCATATTAACGAGCTTAGGGTAAAATATAGAACGATATCTGGTGTATAATACTGAATATTACACAAGGTAGCACAATGGGATATTCGACCAATGGCAATCGTTCGCGTAGTCACCGTGGCCACACTATGACGTCACACACGTCACATCACCGTGTGGTCGTGTCGCTCCTCACACCTCCATACATTCTCACCTCGTGTACACATCACGTCCTACTGGTTCTAACAATCACTCATAATTAAGCTGGTATACACTGTATACATCCACTGTGCAGTAAACACACTGTATCAATGGAAACTGTAAGGGGTCCATGCACAGAAGGAAACGCGATGTGGTAACAATCCTTGAATTAGTACAGATTCTGTGATAACTTTGACACTAACAACAACCAAAAGCTATATTGAGAGGGGCTAAACTCGTGTGACATGCATCGGATTATTTCTTTTAGCACCTTACATGGGTTTGATATTTTAACTTGCTTATACCAGCAGTCTGTGTCTAGATGCCATACTGTATATCATTCCGGGGTAGAATAGGTCTTCAGCAACCCATGCTTGCCGTAAAAGGTGACTATGCTTGTCGTAAGAGGCGACTATGCTTGTCGTAAGAGGCGACTAACGGGATCGGGTGGTCAGGCTCGTTGACTTGGTTGATGCATGTCATCGTATCCCAATTTCGTAGATCGATGCTCATGATGTCAATCACTGGATTGTCTGGTCCAGACTCGATTATTTACAGACCGCCGTCATGTAGCTGGATTATTGCTGAATGCGGCGTTAAACAACAAACAAACAAACAAAACGGGTATATAAGTTTATAATACTCTCTGCATCTTGTAAAGCTGCATGTAATTACCTGTACAACCAATACCTTTGCATGTACTGTACACACGAGCGTGAAATAAAAGTGAATGAATTGTTTGTTTATTAAAGTCTCGGGCATAAAATTACATGTACAGATATATAGATAAACAGTGTGGCATATTGTATACAGGGCCTTATTCAGCCAATGAGACACTTACACATGTGTATATTCAGATAAAGTAGCCATGTGGTATTGAAACATGTTTATGTACTTTTTACATTTTACGTAATGAGATATATAAAGACTAAATTGACTTTAAGTCATTTACGCGAGAACAATTTTATGACCCATTTTACCCTTTTTTTCTAACACAACATTTTGTTGTAGTAAAAATTTCATTTTCATTTTAACATCTTGGGCGTTATTGACAAATGCTGGATTATTAAACGTATTTGGTACTTCAGCTAAACGGGTATCATTAAAGGACAGGGTAAAAGAAAATGTTTCCCATCTTCGACACAGTTTAGACAAAAAGAATTTACAAAAGGAACAGGGAAGTAATCTTCCCGCTTCCCTAACATACATGTGGCGTATAACGGAATTGATTTAAGTATTGACTATGGACTAT